TCAAGGAACCTCAGCTCAAAGATGAACTACTTTGGATAAGGAAGTGTAGGTAAAAGTGTGGTGTATCTAAGCTACTATGCACAAACTTGCAAAAAAAAGAGAGAGAAATGTAGAGAAAGAAAGATAATTTTTGCTCCAAAAATTCTAACCCTCAAAAATGAGGGAAGAGACCCCATATATATAGAAAAACATGCACTTGGCTGAGATATATCCCTCCATACACGTGTAGAGAGATGTAGCCAATTGTCCCAACAGCTGGCACAACTATCAACAAAATATCTGAAAAAAAGACACTGATGGCCGGCAGGCCACCAATAATGGCCAGCAGGCCACACCATTAGCTGGCAAGGCACAAGGGTGGTCGGCAGCCCACAAAAGGTGGTCGACAGCCCACCAAAGGAGGCCTACAGGTCCCAGGGTCTTGAGGTTTGAAGCACTAGGGTTTTGGTCCAAAACAAGCCATAAAATAGATAGGGTTTAAAGGCTCAAAGACAGGGTATTCCACTGAGGACTTCGGGCACTAAAACAAGAACATGTAGTCATAATCATCAAATGCACAAGCAATGACGTCCAAGTCTTGAAGACGGTCAAAAATGGGGTGTCTACAGGGATGCTAAAGCAAAAAAACTTACATATTTACGTACGCCCCACAAATAGGTACAAAAACACAATTAGTAAACATACATGATCCTATATACATGATCCTAATACAATTCACTCATGAAATGCAACTACAGATCTGGCTTCTAATTATATGGCATGTGAATTATCTTAAAATATGAGGTAGCGCACAAAATCACATAATAAGCAATTGAACTCATAGATGCAAATCTATTCGATCTTAAGGCATAAAGCATGGATATGAATCATAGATATGATGACAAGCATGAGATATTACATATTTATAAATAGGAAAAGAACCGGACAGAAAGAAGGGATGGAGAATTATTACATCGCTTTGAAATATTACAAATCTGAATAGGAGGAAGAGGAAAAATATTACAACAACATTAAAAACCTCACATACACTCTCTAATTAAAAGATAAACCATAAAAAAATAGAAGTTACAAGGAGCCTTGAAGACCTTCGGAAATTGTTCTGCTCATCGCCAGATACTACTAGGTTTTGTCCATGAGGAAATTGGCTGGCTAGCCAAAAAGGTAGCCAAAAACTCTGTTTTGTTCAAACACCTGAACAACAAACGGAAAATTTGCAAGTGGCTCAACTAACCACTTCCAGTTAGCTTACAACAGGTTTGTAACATGAAATTGAAGCAAGAAAAACAATACAAGAAAGGAAATAACAAGAAAGTAAAAGACAATGAAAAGCGTGCAAAATTTACCTTTCAAGGAAAGGATTTGATTTCCAAACTTTCTTTTGATCACCTTCAATTTTAGGAAGTGTATTCTCAATTTGAAATTTTGAAATTCTAATTGGAATGGTGTTTTCAGGCTATTTAACAATGTTTGTGGAGAGAGAATTACATCTCTATGTTTTTCTCTCAATTTCAAGGAACGCTCACTCTTTTTTTATCAAAGCTACTTGAATATGGCTCTAACAGAATTTATGAGCTTGGTTTGATATATTGAAAGATGGTATATTATTGTGTGTTTGAAGTTTTGGCTCAAAACTTAAGTTTACTCTCTTTTCTGTCTAACTCTCTCTCTCTCTCTCTCTCTCTCTCTCTCTCTCAATTCATTTCTCTTCTTTTTCTTGATACATTCTGAATCTCTCCATATAGAAAATGAATAGAATACAAAGACAAGGAGGTAGAAGACAAGGTAGGAGACAAGAATGATGGAGTGATAAGGGTGGTTGAAATGAAATCAACTTTATGGAAGAGGACGAACTCCCTTTTGGCAATGGAGACCAAATGAAAATAATTGAGGGTGAATGAGTGTGTATCTCGTGCATGATTGTATTAAGAAATATCTAGAAAAGCATGTTCCATACACTTCTAGCAAGAATTCTACCAAAACTGCTCTATTTTTGGGAAAACTAGTCGGCCAGCCAATTTATTGGCTAGCCAACCAAAATCTTAACCTACCGACCAATTACTTGGCCGGCCAGCCAAAACATTATCTAAGGCCTGGCTATTTTGCATGAAACAGGATTTTTTGACAGAATTCTCATAATTTCCTCTTATTTCCACACCATTCTTTGCTCAATTTCCTAAGAAAGTGTTTCATTTGAAAGTTTAAAAGTGGCCTTAAAACACTACGGAAATATTCAGAACAAAGTGCAGAAAGAAAGTTTCGAAAGAGCGTTTTGAACGGGATCTGAACATTTGGCCAAAACAGGCTTAGGTTTCGAAATGAAACAAAAATTTCATCTTTCTTACTGAGAATTATATGAGAAACACAATCTTATTTTTCATCATCGGGTAATCAAAAGAAAATGTCTAAGTCTTGGGACCAGTAAAAATGGAGTGTCTACATATACACAAAGAGTCCTAAAAATTGAATGTTTAGGATGGTCGAAACGAAACCCATGATAAGTCTTACAGTCCGAATAATGCCTCTCCAATCTAGATCTGGACTAGAGAAAATCACCTCTCTAAAACACCGTATCAAATGATATCTAAATATAATCCTCATATGTATAATATATGTTGAACAATAATGTTACAATTATCATATTTTTGTGACACTTATAATTATTGAGCGTAAATGACTGAAAATATAATGTATCTGATAATAAATAAAATGATGCAAAAAAATTTAAAAAAAAAACATAAAAAAAGGGACTGCATACGGTCCAGTTCGGCCCATTATAGATCCATTTCAGGCTCGTTTTAATGATTCAAATAGTTCATTTTGTAGGATCTTCTGAGAATATCATACATAGTAGAAATCAAGTCAAATGAATGTTGAAACCCATTTGATCATATAACATTTGTCTAAAAAATAATTAACGGACAACATAATTTTAAAAATAATCTGTTAGTTATTTTTTATACAAATATGATTCAATCGAGCAGCTCCCGACATCTGATCAATTTGATTTTTTGTATACATAATCTTCTCAAAAAAATTTATAAAATAACAATTTAAATCATTGAGATAAGGCTGAAATGGTCTCACAATGAGTCCGAATGGACTATCCAATCAAAATATCCACCTGTAGAGAATACAATGTCAAAAAATGTCACTACAAGAAAAAGCATTTTTGGCGACTAAATTTTTAGTCGCCAAAAGTCCGTTTTTAGTCCCTGAAAGTCGAGTTTTTACTTTTAGCAACTAATTTTTTTAGTCGCCCCTTTTGTCGTGTATATATGGTCGCCGGAGGTATTGGCGACTAAAATTTTTTTAGTCGGCAAAAATTAGCTCTTTAGCGACCAACATTTTAGTCGCCAATAGGGATTTATACTTTTTAAAATCACACATTTGGCGACTAATCTTTTAGTTGCCAATAATCCATGAATCACCGACTAAACGGTTTAGTCGCCCAAAATAAAACTTTTGGCGACTAAAATTTTCGTCGCCAAAGGTCCTTCCATGAAAAAAAAAAAAAAAAAAAAACCAATTTCTTTGCTTTTTCTGAGATTCGAACCGCCAACACCTTTAGCAACACACTCCCTCCACTATGCCACTTCAACATCACATTAATATATATGCAATATATATTATTTATATAGTATATTGACCGGTATTAATACAAAACTATATATATAAATATAATTATTTTTATTCAATATAATTTATGTAAAAAATAAATTATTTATTAAAAAAAAATTTAGGCCACTATTGGCGACTAAATCCATTATTTCGTCGCCAATTGTATTATTTTGGGCTACTAATTAATTTTTTGTCGCTAAAAAAATAAGTTCAAATTAAAAATAAGCAGTTTTGGCGACTAAATCTGTTTTTAGTCGCCAAAAATGTCCACTTTTGGCTACTAAACTGAATTTTAGTCGCCGATTGACTGTTTTAGCTACTAATTTTTTTTTTTGTAGCCAAAAAGCTTCATTTTCAGCGACCAATCTGTTTTTAGTCGGCAAAACACCTATAATCGGCGACGAAAATGTTTTTTAGTCGCCAAAACCATCACTTTTGGCTACTAAATTATTTTAGTCGCCAAAAACCGTCACTTTTGGCTACTAAACAACCTTTAGTCGCTAAAACCCCTACATTCGGCGACTAAACTGTCTTTTAGTCGCTAAAACCCCTGTATTCGGCGACTAAACTCTTTTAGTCAGCAAAAGTGTTCAATTTTGGCAACTAATTCCATTTTAGTCGCCAATTCTACTACTTTCAGTGACGAAAAATGAAGTTTTAGTCACTAAAAACGCTTTTTCTTGTAGTGTGTATATATAAATATAACAACATTCTATAAATGCAGCTAAATGGAGAAAGGACCAAGATCCCAATAGAGAGATCGGCCCATGCCCCATTAGACGCGATATGTAGTCAGTCAGCCATCGTACCAATTTGAGAATAATAACGCGTTAATTATGTTTGACTTTGAATCAGTCCAACCACTTCACAAATTCCACTAACCTACTTATCGATTGATATATTTTCCACCAAATTAGCATCTCTGTAATAATTTATCTTGACAATACTAACGACTTTATAATACTAATTTAAAAGTTCAAAATTCAATTATTGTAGAATTAAACCAAAAAAATTATGAGACAACTATTTATAAATTGAGACAACAATTTATAAATTAAAAAAAAAATTATCAAATAAGTTTTTATGACAATTTTTAAAACTTTTATAAATATAAATTAAAAACTGAAAATGAAATGATTACCAAACATCTCCTTAATAATTATGTTTTTCAATTCTTAAATCACATTTTTACAAAAGATCTTAGTCCTTTTCCACCAACAATGTGTGCTAAATGCTAAAAAATAAAATAAATAAAATTAATTAATTAATTAATTAAAACTCTCATTTTAACTGATTAGACTACTATCACATCATTGATGACTTGGCTTGTTAAAGTCAATACTCTGTTAGCTGTGATTGCATAAGATGTTCTGATCTTTTGCACTAACTTATTATTCTGCTAGAGAGAGAGAGAGAGAGAGAGAGAGATGGGGAAGATGAATTCCCAACCAGAACCTACAGTTCAACATTTCAGTCATCCCCACCCCTTACACCTCTCCAATCATCAACCCCAACAAACCCTGAACCTAGCTTTATGTTCATGCTGCAAGCTCTCAGTTTCTGGATTGATCTACACTTGCCAATTATGCAACTACTACCTCCATGTCAAGTGCTCACAAATGCCTCAGCAAATCAAACACCCATTTGACCAAAACCATGTTTTCTCTCTCCTCCCAACTCCCATTTACCCAGAAGGCATCTTCAGCTGTGATGCTTGTGGAAAACAAGGCAATGGATTTTCCTACCATTGCAAAGCTTGTAGCATTGATCTCCATGTTCCTTGTGCTTTAATGCCATTGTCAACCACTCATCAATCTCATCATCATCAGCTCAACCTCACTTTCTCACCTCCTTATCATAACCAAAGCTTTTCTTGTGATATTTGCAAGAACATTGGGTCAAACCACTGGCTCTACAGGTGTAACTTGTGTGAGTTTGATGCTCATTTGATTTGTGCAACAACAAGACCAACTGTTCCAGCTCAAGCTCAACCATTTCAGATGCTACAGTATCAACATGGATCAACCGTTCCTGTTCGGGTTCAAGTTCAAGCTCCTCCAATGCAACCAATTCAGATGCAACAGTTTCAAACAACAGCATCAAGAGTTGGACCTCAGTTTCAGGTTTTTAGGCCCCAGTACGCGGTGACACCGCCTTTGCAGAACTACCCACAAAACAATTTTGTGAATGTTGGGAACCCTTATGGATCTGTTGCACCAGTTGTGAATAGGCAGAACAATGATCTGATCAGCCAGGCTATTCAGAGTTTTATTGGTGGTGTTTCTGAGTCAGCAGGGCAGCAGTTGATGCAGGGATTGTTGGGTGGAAGTGGCGGTGGCAGTGGTGGTGGTAGCAACGGTGGAAATGAAACTTTCCAATTCTTGGAAGGAATAATAGGTAGTGGTGGAAACGGGAACGTATTGCAGGCATTAATAGGTGGTGGCGGTGGAGGCGACAGTGGCAATAACGGTGGTATTCTGGATGTTTTTGGTGGTAATGGTGTTGCTTTTGATGGAAGTGGAGTAAATTTTGGAGCACTCGGGGGTTTTCAAAATAACCTTTGAAATTATGCATTGAACAACAAGCTCATGTTTCAACCAAACTGAAATTAATTCGGTTGGTTAGAATGCTTGCATCTGAATGGCACGTCAAGGATATTATTCGACTTTACTCCGACTTACAATGTAAAAAATTAAAATAAAAATAAAAAAAGGTCATGAGTGGATTTTTCAGTTCTTTGCTGTATTTCAGTTCTTGAGAATGGATTTTTCAAGAACCATATCATTTCTATTGCAAATTTGCAATGAACTGGTTTTATCTATTTTATCTGATGACTGGTAGTGAAAATTTTCAGATTGTGTACTGCATCATCAATATACAAAAATGAAAAGCCTTTGCCTCTGTCAACTGAACTGTATTTCAATGATTATCTTCAAACTGATATCTCTCTCATTCCTTGCTTTGTGCTACTCCTTGATTTATTTATTTTTTTAACAAACTGATCTCATTTGTTTATGATCATCTTGAAACTTTCAAATTTATTTACTTTAACTTCCGAAACTAGGGTTTCCCATATTATCCTATCTGGATAGATCGATGCTCAATTAAATATTGGCATTCAAGTAACTATTTGATTGTGCTTCAAAAAATTAACTATTTGATCGGCCAATTTTGTGACCATTTTGAACAAAACATTAGGCTATGGCACAAAATATTGAGTGGTATATAAAATAAAACATGCCAAAATGTATTTATAGGAACGACTTTCTGGTTGTTCGGGGCAGATTATGAGCCTATATATATATATATAAGGCAAATTATACAAATAGTCTCTATAGTTTATATGATGTGATAATTTGGTCTTTATTATTTTAATTTGCTCAATTTTGTTCTTTAATTTGATGGATTGTGTTATATTAGTCTAATAAATAACAGCTGTTAGGTTTGATGAACGGAAAATCAAACGATTTGTCAATTTGATCCATGTAATTTACACGATGCGTAAATTTGATCCTTATCAAAATTAAGCAAATTAAAATAACATAGACTAAATTGACACATCGTGTAAACTATAAAGATTAAATTGACACATCGTTTGAGTTTTCGTTCACTAAACCTAACAACCATTATATATTGATCAAATTGAGACATCGCATAAACAATAAAGACCATTTGTATAATTTACCCATATGTATTTCACTAACTTGTACCAAAATATTTTGTATAACTTCTACTTGTTACTTATGAAATAAAAATAACTTAAATAAAATGAAAAAAAAAATTAAATTGTTATTATGAAATAGATGGAGAGATACTTTTAATTTTAATTATTAATTTTTAACTAATTAAAAGTCGTACCAGACATGCCATTCCTAAGCACTGGGCTTTTAACTTTCATATACTATGGATGCAATATCCGTTAAAAAAAAAATACTATGGATGCATTATGCATATTCCAGAAGTCAAACCTTACATACAAGTTGGACTTAAGCTTATCAGAATGAAGCTTCTCTGCATTTCTAAAGGACTAGTCGGTCCAGTGCAAAATTGCATAATTCAATGATTCCAGTACATTAGGTTTTTTAAGTTCAAAAAAATAAAAAATAAATAAATAATAATAATAATAAACCATACCATCCGTACATACCTCTCAAAAAGCTAAAAAAATTAAGGAAAGAATTACTAATAAGCCCTATTTTACTATAAAGATTACAAGTAGAACGATATCAATTTTTCTATCATATAAAGTTCCTTCTCATTTTTTTTTTTTTTTTTTTGATCAGCAAAAGAGAAACTTCATTGATGAAAGACAACCGAATTACATCAACAAAGAGGAGAAACCAACAAGAAGAAGCTCCAAGTTGGTGAAACTCCAAGTTGGTGAAACTCCAAGTTGGTGAGAAACCAACAAAACAAGGAAAACAAAGATAAAAAAAACACAAAAAAAACTGCAGAAACTTGGAGCATCAAAACAGCACCAAAAACAGAACAAGGTCACACCAAAAACTGAGACCAGCAGCACAACTAAGAATCACCCTTGTACAACAACTTACAGCAGCACTAACTGAGACCACCAAAAAACTGAGACCAGCAGCACAAACTGAAACCACCAAAAACTGGATCTTCTGGCACAGCTTTCTTCACAATCTTTCCTATTCCTAGCCCCCTAATAATCACCCTTGTACAGCAACTTACAGCACCTTACTGTTTGACCTTCCCCTCTTTGATGATTCTCTTTTTGTCCTTACGCTCTAGGTCCATGATCTTATTTAAGGCTACATCCTCTTGACCATTGAAGTTGATACCAAGAGTTTTCCCCAATTGGATGGTAGCTGTGGCTTCTTGAAGAAGGTAATTATTCAGGCTTGATTCAGACTCAGACAGTTCCGACTGTGCAATTGCTGCTGCTGCTGGTCTTACAAGGCTCAATAGGCCTGGAGAAAGGATCACTAACAAGGTTGTTGCTAATTGATTGGGCCAGATCCACTTCCAGATTAATGCCAGGCTGGAGACCCTCTCTAGACCCACTAAAGCTTTTCATAAAACCCTGTGTAAAGACTTGCTCAACACACCTCTGATTGCCATCATTACTTTTAGGACTGTGCATAGGCTCTTCCAGCATCATTACCTCTACATACGCTCCCTCCTTGCTGCAGCTTTCTGAATCCAACTTTGTCTCCTCAACTACAGTGCTTGCCTTCTTTCCAATTCGACATGCAGTAGGCTCCTTCCTCGGTACTACCTCATTGGTGTATACCAACTCAGCAGCAAGCTTGTCACATCCTGCTGCCACCTCATCATCATCTTCATACTCCCTACAGCCCTTCTCTAGGAAAGTCTCTGCCTCTTTACTAGAACAAAGAACATTAGAACTACAATCTTCCATACCATTAAGCTTCATGATGCTAAGATCTGCACTATGATCTTCACACACAAGGATGGGGTGGACTTTACCCTTACACTCCAGCAAAATAGTTTTGTTGATAGGCTCCATACATGACGTAACCACTCTGACTTTGGCGTAGGAGAAGGATTTTGGTTGACAGATATCCCCATCCAAATTGAGAACAGAGCCCCAAATACTTCCAATGCTGTTAAGTGTGTTTCTGTTCCAACAATTTAAGGGGATGCCATAACATCTCAACCACAAGCATCTCTCTTGTTCATAGTGGAAATCTGGTTTCCATTCCACCACAAACTGGCTCCAATCTTTGAACCATTCTTTAATATTACAGATATTAGACTTCAGCTCCTCTGAAGATTTGAAAGTTAAAACTACATCACAGCCTCCCCCTTGTCTAACTAGAACCTGGTCCAGACCATTTGCCTTCAGAGCTTTACCAATATCATGAGTGGAATACTTAGCATTGAGTCTAATTATTACACTATCATATAGCCATGCATGACCAACTTCATCAACTTTTATGTTCATGCTAACATTACCAGCTGCAGTGGGTGGTTCCCCTTTTAATACCTCTGCAAAGGATCTTTGATCTACATATGGAGCTTTACCTTTCATGCTGGTTGTTGTGAAGAATCTTTTGGTATTCTGTGATAACCCTCTGTTTTGGTCATCTCTGTTACCCCTGGCATGTGTAGCTTTCTTGACTTGTAGCACCATATCATCCACCAACATACCATTCGCTTGTTGGATGGCAATGTCTGCTGCAACGGGGCAATCAAATCTTACAAACCCGAATCTTGATTTTGACACTATTCTTCTTTTAAGAGGTATAAAGACATTCTTCACAATGCCAAACTTTGTGAAGAGTTTGAACAAAGACTCAGCATTCGTTGCTCCTGGAAGATTATCCACGAAAACCGTAAAAAGTCCCTGCATTTCTTCAAATTGCTCCGTAAAAAGTCCCTGCATTTCACAATGCCAAACTTTTTTCGGTTGCTGAGAGTATGGCGCCAATAGCTGCAAGTTATCATATAAGAGTTTCTTGATCTGTCTTTTTTTCTCAAGCCTTCCAACCCCATTGATATTCCAGCTTAACATCTTCATAACAACATACATTAATCACTGTAGACCACCCGCATAGGAACTGATTACATACACCTGCCATTCTCTTCTTCCAATCTCTTCGCATCATCTTCCTCAAACAGGAGTAATTTTTGTATTATTTCATCATCTTGGCCCTTTGTTGCAATCCCTAACCTTTTACCTAGTTGTAAAGTTTCCTATGCCTCCTTCAATCTCCCATCACCACAGACGGATTTTGACTTTTCTGAGAATGACCTTGATAACACTTTTACCGTAGCTCTAACCACTACATTTTTTTGGGTACCTTTGCTTGGCCCTGTTCCTCTCTGCCCTATTGTAGCTTGGCTTTCTGCGCTCCTTTCGAAAGGCGAATAGCCCTACAATTCGGACTCCACTTGTGGTTTTGAATTTGATTTCCCAAGTATAATGTAAAACAGTGAAAACACAAAAAAATTTCAAATCCGGCAATTCTTTTTTGAAAAATCGATGTTTGAATTAAATGTCAAAAATAGACTACTTTGCCAGATTTCAAAATCGCCACCTAAATATTTTTAGAAAATTTAAGGAACCCGAGACTCATGCCAAAGGCTATTAGTCCGTCATCACCAAAGTGTCTCGGCTCGAGAACTTAAGTACAAGAAGGGAAGGTCATGAATTGAGCACCCCACTCGCCCGATCAAAGATCGGCCCGTACTAATCATGATGTGTTTCCTATTTACATTATATGCTCTTCTTCCGATTTATTAGCTATTTACTATGTGATGCGCACACAAGGTATAGACTAGTTTGCAATAATTAGAACATTTGATCTCATGTTTTGTTTTGTTTTGAAAAGAGTTTTTGAATATGCTACTTGAAAAGGTGGGCTTAAAATGGACATTAGTCAAACTGTAGACACCCCATATTTGACGGCCCTTCAAGACTTGGATATTCTTGCAGGTACATCCGTTGATGAGTTTGTTTGCTTGCCGAGCACTCGAAATTCTTAGCGGAATGCCACAGCTTTGAGCCTTTCAAACCTTGCATCCATTTTGTCTTCACTACTACAAAAACAAATAAAGATCACACTTTTTTTGTGTGATGTTTGTTATTTAATCACACATTTTAAGTTTTATTAAAGTGTGATCTTTGAGAGTGTGATTAAAAGAGGTCATTTTTAATCACACCTTTTAAGTGTGATTAATAACATTTAGATCACACCTTTCAAGTGTGATTAAAAACATTT